TACAGATATCTTACCAGAAAATGACTTTGGTAGAAGTTGAAGTCACCGTTTAGAATATTACTTGAGTAAAAGTCTTAATGTATGTGATATTTATTTTTTCAATATTAAACGTACTTAAGTATTGAAAGTAAAAGTACAAGTAAATGCAAAATGGAAAAGAAGCAAATAAATAATATATATAAAATGTTCATACACAGCTTGAGTAGCAAGATTGTGTTCAGTTTTAACTCTTTCTTCCATTTTGTATCTTTGGGTAACTAAGCATAAGAGGCACTTCATCCGGTACTTAGCCTCTTTCAATCCAACATAAGAAAACATTTCTGGAATCTGCATCTGAAATGGCATTTAGATGTATTTACACAGTTTAATATATCTCAGAGGATACATGGATGCATTTGACCTGCATTTAACCTGAATACTGATATTTGAAATGATTTAAAACATGAAAAAAACAGTTGAATGTGAAATTAAAACCGCCAGTAGGTGGCAGCACGTGACCGTTAATGAGTGAGTCATTGAGATTCAACCGATTCATTCAAACGGCTGATTCATTCAGGAACAAAAACATTTGACTGTGTTAATGAGTGAGTCACTGAATCATTCATTCAACCTGTTTGTTCAAAAAGCTGTCCATTGCTTAGAGACGCAAAACATTGCTGTGATCTTTGTTTGGAACTATTTTCGTTGGAAAAATTTAGCAAAAAACAGGCAATATTGTGTCTAAAATATAAGTCACTTAATGCTAACTTTATTAAACTTGTATAAAATGATTATTACATTTGTTATCATACTGATATATGGAGAAAAAAATGGCACTCTGTGTGTGATATAGATTAACTATATTAAAATATATAAATATAAAAAACATACAGAGGCATTTTTGCCATCTACAATTTATAATGCCTTGAATTTTTAGTTTTAATAGACTAATAAATCACATGCGTGCACTCTCTGTGTGTGATTTTGTGATATAGCTACTCGATAATGTCAGATGGCACATCATTACAACAACACTTTACCATATTATCGCAGACGATATACTGTATATCGCACACCCCAGACTCGACTTGAGTGGAAAATCAAATCGACCGTGGTTGTGTGAGCACTTGGTTTGCACATGAGCAAAGGTGTTTTTAGGAGTCTCACTTGCAAGCAGCAGACCACTGATTCATCAAACCTGCTTTCTTGCAGTCTGTGTTCTTCCGACTTTATTTTGTAGTTAGTAATGAATATACTTCGGGGAAATGTATCGGAGTAAAAGTAACATTTTAATTAGGAAATGTGGAGTAAAAGTGAAAGTTGACAGAAATATGAAAACTTAAGTATAGTACAGATACTCCCAAAAAATACTTAAGTACTGTAATGAAGTATTATTACTTCGCTACATTACACCACTGCTCTCAGGCCATCCGAGATGTAGATGAGATTGTGGATCCTCCGCAGTGAATGGGAGCCGTCAGAATGAGAGTCCAAACAGCTGATAAAAACATCACAATAATCCACAAGTAATCCACACCACTCCAGTCCATCAGTTAAAGGGGTCATATGTTGCAATTTCAAGTTTTCCTTTCTCTTTGGAGTGTTACAAGCTCACCCTGTGTGTTTCGTTGTGAAATCGAAACTACTCTGTTTGGTCTTCCAAAAGAGGACACAACTAATAATCAGTGGTTAAGTTGTATTTTGCCACTGATGATTCAAACGCGAGTTTTAAGCAATGTAGAGTAGTACTTGTTGTTTGTCGTTTCTCTGATCACAAATGCAGACATGGCTTTATGTTTACGCAGTGCGATACGCAACGCAACGCGTAAAAAGACAGTATAAGTCATTATAATCAGTAATTATGTCCCCACTGGATGCAACAAATGCCAATGTTTTATTGGTTTTGTCTTGTCGCGCCGGGACAGGGCATCATCACAATATGGTAGGGGCGTAACATTTCCGTCACACGCTGTGAAGTGAAAAGCTGCTTATTTGTAAGAAACAAATGAACAATTCAAAGAAACAATCAAAATATGAATCCATAATTCGCTTCCTCCAGTAAAATTTTTGTTCAGAAATGGAGCGTAGCGTTAGTTCTGGCAGGTCACATTAGTCAAGCTCGCATAAGCTGACACTCAGCTGATCCACGTCTACCTATAGGAATACGACGACAATCATAATTCCCTTTATAAGGTCCTTTCAGTCATTATTCAGCAGCTATCGCTTTGCTCACTATTGGATTTTACAGTGTAGGTGGGGGTTATTTACGCTCTCCCTGCTCCTATCCATGCTAGGCTGCATGAATGGGCAGGGAGTGTTGCCCAGAACAGAACCATATCCCCAACCTAAAATGTATGCTAATTGTAAGTTATCTTTGACGATAGTGGTCCTGACAGAACTGTTTTTGACTCTTTGATCTGTGCATATTTCTCTCCTGATTCAGATGATAAGTCTTTTTCGCTTGAAAAAGCAGTATTATGGATTGTAGACTCAGGACTGGAGTCGTGTGGATTACTTGTTTTTATCAGCTGTTTGGACTCTCGTTCTGACGGCACCCATTCACTGCAGAGGATCCATGGGTGAGCAAGTGACGTAATGCCAAATTTCTCCAAATCTGTTCCCATGAAGAAACTCATCTACATCTTGAATTGCCTGAGGGTGTGTAAATTTGAGCAAATTCTCATTTTTTGAGTGAACTATTCCTTTAATAACCATCCAAAGAAGCTAAATTAATTGAGGGGAAATAAAAGGATATGGTTATTTAGAAATATAGCCATATAGCCTATATAGAAAACGATACAACTGTTGTTAACGAAACAAACAAGCATTCTTTGAGATGTTCAAGCATATTCAGTAAAAGCGACTGTCCACGTGCCAGCAGCACGCAATGGCTCGCTCACGGTTTTCAGCAGCGCAGGGAATGAATAGACGCTTCGCGGTGACGGATTCACAGCTGATCTGGCAACAACTGGCCGTCCAGCGAAAGGGCCGATGGTCTCTGCGTGCAGGATATAATAAACGCTTCTAGCTTCAGCAGTGCGGGAATACGGTAAGAGACCAGGGAAATACGTTTGACCTTATTGGACATGGTACTGATGAATTGGGCTCTGTTTAATATGGTATACTGTGTTGACGCGGACCGATGTGTTTATATCCTCTGTTAGACCGCTAAACGCCTGTGTGAGGTCTACCAGAGTCATTCATGAGCATTAGAAGAAAACATTTTGCTCTCATGATTCACGTGACTATTAGCGTAGCTACGATGTGCTGATCAAGACAAGTGCATCCTTCGTGTGATCCGACTCTAACCGACAGTCGTATTACCGAGTGGATAAGGAATATACAGAATACACACACGTTTTGGCTTGAACAACCTCCATGAAAATAACATTTATAAACGGGACAGAAAATATGCTGCGGTGACTAGACGTCATCGACCAGCGCCATTTGCACACATATGAACGACCTCAGTTCATGCAGGTTAATGTTGCTTTAATATAGTTCAGACTGACAAACAATGTGATTATTGGTAAATGTAGCTGGGCACCCCATCACGGGATCCCGGATGAAATAATCCTCTATAATGGACCACAGAGCGACCATTTGCTGCACTGTCAATCTAAAAGCCACCGAAGCAGTGAAGTCAACGACAAAAGCCTTGAGGGACTCGATATCCCGACTGTTTATCCAACATAGCCGTAATTTGTTTAGCATTTGCTTACATCGAACCATTTTAATACAGTATTTTGAATAAACTAGGAGCGACCAATCCAAAACCGGCAGCGGAACATGAGCTGATTTCTGACTGGTCGACTGGCTTATTAAATTTTCCTATGGTCTGTATGGTGGTGGGGATTCATTGCAGTGACTCGAATCTTTTGAATCAAATAATTCATTCGCAAATGATTCTTTAAAGGGGTAGTTCACCCACAAATGAAAATTCTGTTGTAATTTACCCACCCTCATGTCTTTTAAAGATTTTCTTACTTTTGCAGAGCATAAAAGAAGATATTTTGAAGAATGTTGGTAACCAAACTGTTTTGATTAACATTGATTTACCCATTGGTTTACCATTTTCTCAAATTGTTGTTTATGTTACACAGAAGAAAGTAAGTCATACAGGTTTGAAACGACATGAGGGCGAGTAAATTATGACACAATTTTCATTTTTGGGTGAACTACCCCTTTAAGTCTGGGTATATAATTTCTTGTATAAAGAAACGGTTTATATTTTGAAAAATTAATATTATAAATGTGTGTAAAATATAATTTGGAAAATATTTCGTTTCTGTTGTTACATTATTATGTTTATCTACCCATTATAATACTGTTATAGTACTGCATTTATTGTTTATTTATGCATGTATTTACACTTTTAAATCTAGTTTTTATTTATATCTATTTTTATTTGTTTTTGTCTAACCTTTCATTTAGTCTAGATCAGGGGTAGGCAAGTTCGGTCCTAGAGAGCCGCAGTCCTGCAGAGTTCAGCTCCAACCCT